AACTGTGGAGTATCCATAAAATGCAATACTACTCAGCGATAAAGAGAAGCACGCTCTTGAGGCATGCAACAACATGCATGAGTCTTACATGTATCATGCTAAGTCAGATTCAAAAAGCTACAGACTTTATGAATCCATTTATATGACACTTTTGCAAAGGCATGGCTATAGGGACAGAAAGCAGGTCACTGATTTCCAAGAGCTGAGCTGGGGAGGGGGTTGATTAGAAAGGGGCATGGCAATTTTTTGGGTGGTGAAACTGTTCTGTATCTTGACTGTGATGGTGGCTGCATTTGTTGAAGTTCACAGAACTGCACACAAAAAAGGATGACTTTTTCCATATGTAAATTGTTCTTTATTTTTAAAAATGAGAAAACAAAAGTACTAACCATATGTCCCTATTAGCACGTACACTTTTGCTCTCAAAAGTGTCCCCAAATTGTACAATCACAGGCTTAGCCCAGGATAGACCCAGAGGGCAGACCCTAAGATAAGGACTTGTGGGCAGATACTTTGTTTGGGAAGTGATTCCACGAACAGGAATAGGAAACTGGGGAAGAGTGAAACAGGGACAGAGGGAATGCCAATAACCCAGGGATGCCCCCGATGTGTAACTGGGCTTTGTCTCCATGGGGTCCTGGTCCTCGCATGGTTTGGAAGAGGAGCATTTGTCCCCTGTTCCTATCCTCTCATCCCATGTTGGCCCAGTGAGGCCCATGGAGTGTAACTTCCAGGCTGTATGTGCCTGAGGACCGCATGGGTCACTGCAGGCAACCTATTCAGCATCAGAGAAGCCCTGGGATGCAAAGGGGAAGGTACAGTAGAAGCTGAGATGTGGTTCTGTCAGGTTATGCCTGAATAAAGCTAGTTGCTGCAGCAAAGGTTAGAGTAAAAAGTAGGTTGACATGATGTGAGGTGGGACACAAGAGATGTCACATTCAGACATCTTGCTTACAAGGCCGTTTTGTGCGGCCCTTGAATTCCTTTCTGTCCTTACCTCCAGCTACTCCTTCACATGCTGCCATCCCAACCACCTGACCTTGGACATTTTATGCTCTCCCTTGCCTCTGAATCCCCATGCTAGTCCTTCTTTAGGGCTGCAACCCAAGATTGTACAGGTTGTACACTGCACAAGGGCTCCTGGCCCAGGGGACATGTTATGGCTGATATCCAGCCCAAACTCCACTTACCAAGCCAGATACCCACAGAGCTGTGTCTTCCCTGAAAGGGTACCTTTTTCTGATTTGCACAAAGTCACCCTACATCCTAGAAGCAAGCCCACTGCACCTAGCACGTGTCCTCTGATCTCCACACCCTCATGTCCTTCTTTGCCTGCCTAATACCTACTTATCTTCCCAACTTTGCCTTAGGAAACATCTCTTCTTGGAAGCCTTTCCTGATCTTTGCCTACCCCACCTCCAAGCTATTAAATACCCCTAGCTGTTGTTGAATTTTGTTCTTCCAAAATTCTTATGTTGAAGCTCTAACCCCAGTATCTTGGAATGTGACTGTATTTGGAGATAAGGCCTTTAAAGAGGTGATTAAATTAAAATGAGGCCATTAGGGTGGGCCCTAATCAATATGACTGGTGTCCTTATAAGAAGAGGAAGAGATATCGGATACACAAGTGCACAGAGAAAAGGCCACATGAGGACACAGGGAGAAGGTGACCATCCACAAGCTGAGGAGAGAGGACTCAGGAGAAACCAGCCCTGCTGACACCTCGGTGTGGGACTTCCAGCCTTCAGAACTGTGAGAAAATAAATTTCTTTTGTTTAAACCACCCAGTCTGTGGTGTATCATGATGGTGTCCTGAGCTGACTAATGTAGCCCTCCTTTGTGCTCCCATAACACCTTGAGCATACTTCTATTAGTTTGTATCCCAGAGTTTGAGAATCACTGGTGTTCTTGCTTCCTCCCCCAAGATGGTGGGCTCCTTGAGGACAGTTTGATCTCATTAGCGTTTGCTCCCTGTCACCCAGCGCAGTGCTCGACATCAGTATTTGTAGAATGAATGACTAGGCAGAAAAATCCTTATGTCATTTGGCATCCTGAGAAACTGCAGCTGCTGGTGCCATTAGAGGCTCAAATGAGAGGAAAAAAATTATGAAATATGTATTCAGGAATGCAGTTTTATTCCATAAAATGTGTACGACATAGATAATACAGCGCCACCAGAGGGAAATTATGGCTTCCCATTAGTTATGGGATCGGCTTCTCTCTCTGCTTCAAATTTAACTCATCACATTTGCCTTGATCATTATGCTGTAACAAAGATTGGCATTTTGCTGCTTCTTCTACCTTCCTCTGTCCCCAACCACTCCTGCCCACCACCCACACACAGCATGCTGGGTCAGACGTCCTTGCTGGTTCTCAAGCTGCTCTCCAGGCCTGGACTCTCTCCCAGCTTCCCCCTGATAACTCTTACTCACCTCATAGGACTTTGCCCAGGTTTCATGTGCTCTAGGAACTCTCCCATGACTGATTCCAACTAGATCAAATACTTCTATATGCTGTCTTTACACCCTGTGAGCACAACAATCGTAGCATTGGCCACAGCACAGCAGAGTTACCTCTTCTCAAGGTCATGTCCCCAGTATACCATCAATTCCTTGAAGGCAAGGACCTTCTCTCTCCCATTTAAAAAAATCTTTATCCTTGGTCTCTGGCACCATGCCTGGTATGTATGTCACTCAACACAGGATAGCTGTTATTATTTTAATAAAATAGTAATAAATCATGAGAAAGAAAGTTAGGTGTCATATAAGTTGGTATGATTTATTTACAAACTAAATATTTTTTCTTTTCAATTTCACTTCTTTTTTTCCTGCTGATTTCTTCCTACCATAACTTGTTTGCAAATCACCTAATCTCTAAGATCGGTGAGAAAAAAATAGGAGAAAGAGCAGAGAATGAAAGTTAAAGAGAGTGAAGGAGGACATACTTAGAGACCCTCAGACACACACACACACACACACACACACACACACACACACACTCAGAATTGAGGATAAGGATTTTACATGCTTAGATACCCCAATTCCATCACTGGCTCTCTTGGCGCCCTGAGGTGAAGCGCATGTAGTCCTGAATCTCTGAAAATAGAGATACCAAATACAACTCTTTCAACAAGGGGCTGAATGTATTAATTAATGCTTGCAAAGTTCTTTGAGGATGAAAATTTGGACACAAATCCTTATTAGTATTAGATATGGTCTCTATGATAAGCCTTAGATGTGAAATTTATGCAATAAGTCAAGTAACATGGCTCAAAAGTGGAAAAGCATGTTCAATGTACAGCCCAGCATCCACATTAGTCGCATAATCAACAACTCCCAAACACTCATTCCAGAACAAACTATCAATAATCTGAATTTTAATCCTTTGTGTGCATTCCAATGTGATCATTGGCACAGTGTACGGCTTTTAATCTCTGTTAGAAGATTTCCCTTTTTTGTGTTAGACACATTAAAAAGACCCCAGTTTGAAGTTTTTTTCCAGTGAAGGAAAAAGTTGACAGCACTAAGAAAATTCATATATTTCATTTTATGAGATTTGAAATGCTGGGTTTAGCCATTATGCATCCATTGTAGAGGTAACAACTAGGTTATTATAATGATAATGATTTCTTCTGTCACTTTTCTTCAGTATGGATGAGAGTCCTTAAGCTCTTTATAAGAAAGATCTACTTTTTACTTCTCTGAAACAGGGAGATCCTTATAGGTGATAACACTCCTGCTTTATGGTAATTGCTTACTTAATGTCTGTCTTCTCCCCCAGATGGTAGCTTCGTGAAGCCAGGAACTATGCCTGCCTTCTCACATGGTATGTGGCACACGGCAGGTGCTCAGTCAACCTCCTACACAGAGTGGAGGGTGTAGGTGCGGAGAAAGAGAGAATGGATATTAGCAATATCAATACTATCTAAGAGAGAGAGAAAGAGATGGAGGGAGAGACAGGGAGAGCACACAGTCTAGAAGGCTGTAGAATAAGGTTTTGAGATTGAACAGAAGGTTCCTGTTTGCTAAGGTTGATAGATCTGGGTTCAAACTACCCAATTATGTGCATTTGGTTTTGCTAATACTTAAACCTATGATGTGAGGGGGGGGGGGGAAAGGATAGCACGGTTATCTTTGAAACTTCTTTCCCTAAAGGGCAAGTATACGGCTTAGGGCAAGTCAGGTAGAAGGCCAAGCTCTCTGGAATTCACAGTCTCCCTCATTTTGGGGTGCCAGCAGCACCTTGGGTGGTATTTTTCACCTAGTTGTTTCTCAGTATGATGTATGGGTTGAGTGGTCCTATTATCACTGACTGTCATTTATGGAGTCTTTACTCTTTGTCAAGTTGAGCTTGGCATTTCACATGCTTTATCTCCGATCGTCACTATCATGCATAGAAGACATCCTCACTTTCATTTTACAGAATGAGGAAATTAAAGCCCAAATTCCACATAGCTGTTAAGAGGCAGAATGTAGATCTAAACCCACTTATTCTAAGTGATTCTTTCCCTACGCTCTGCTCTGTTGAGGGTGAGACTGCTTTTCAGATTTAAGCACGTGACTTGAACATGTCATTTAACTTTTATGAACATCCATTTCCTCATCTGTAAAGTCTCGGTGTGAAAACAGTTAATCTTTCAGGTCTGTTTTCCTCTGAAATCCTACAAGTAGAAGAACGAGGCAGAGAAGAGACTCCCCGCTGTGATGGAGCTGTCCATGGTCCTGACAAGACTGGAACCAATAAAGCAATAATCAGCTTATCAAAGAAAGAAGCACAAGAGGCCAGAAACACCTCCGTTAATAAAGATCTTGCCGTTATTCTCTGGGTCTCTTAAGTAATTAAGCATGCAATCTCTCACTGCTGAGTGTATGGATTATGCCAGGAACCAAGCCACTGCAAATGAAAGATGTAGGTAGACTTGCACACCCTCTCCCTTTTCCCCACACCTGAAATAGCCCATGTGTTCCAGACAAATGAGCTGTAGTACATTTTGTCTCCATTTTTTTATTCTTTTGCCTTAAATTACATATTCTTTTCCTGGGCAACAGATTTTCTTGAGCCTGATTTTTCAAGCTTAGCCACCCTAAGAACCAAGTGAGAGTAATTTAATGAGTTCTCTGAAAGACCGAATAAGTTTGTTTTAACATATCTTCATCGCCTCTTCCATTTATTCATATGTCACATATGTTTGTGTCAAGGGATATATACTTACTATATAAGCAGTAATATCGATTTCACTTCAAAAAAAGATGTAGTGGATAGAGGGATGTGAAACATATAAGATGAGCACCCACTTACACTTTTCTCTGTCAACCATGGCTTGTTACTGAATCTTGTACCATCATTTCTTATCATTTCCAACTTGACCCTTAATGTATAATTTAACTTGTAAAATAACATTAATAATAAAGCTCTGGTATTTTTGAAATACTTTTACTCCATTATGACCTTGGCAAAGTTTAAAAAAGTGGCGATATTTAAAGGCATAAGGAGATCTTTCCAAACATATCAAAATAGTGTGTCCCATTCAGAATTAGTTGTAAGCTGGAACTACATTAATAAGGATGCAGTGGACCACAGTAAAAGTAAAATTCCAACAGGAACAAGTGGTAAAATCATAAAGTGGGCACAGCCCTTAGTGTTTGAGTCCCTTTTTGAACTGTTTGTTCACTCATATGCCTATATTTGTAACTATGGTTTTACACTTTCAAATATACATTCATATATTTTCACATATTCACGTACAAGTAAATACGTATGGCCGGATCTAAGCTATTTGCATAGATGTGGGGTCAGAGAAGACTCATTTTTTTCCCTCCAAATTATCCGCCTGAGTGATTTAGAAGGGGAAAAGTGTCTTCAAGGGGAACATTTTGAAGGTTCTAGGAGCAAGCAATGAACGAGGCGAATTCCTAAGTGAAAGCAGGGCAAGGAAGCAGAGAGCCTAGTATTGGTGCTCACCCCAGCTCCAGGGGCTGAGATCAACCTTAGGGAGGGGGAACATTTCCCCCAATTCATGTGCAAATAGACAGACTGGCGCTGGGAGGTCTGGAGGGAGCAGAAGGCTCTTTGGGCTCCTAGAGAGTCTGCAGCCTTGGGAATGTTGGAAGCGGCCCCCTGGGCAAGTGCAGCACCACCTCAGGAAGCTGCGGCAGAAACACCTGGCAGGAAATGGAGGGTGTCCAGCGCTCAGGGTGGATGACCACAGGCCCGGCCAAGCAGAGCAGCCAGCAGCTTGTGCAGACTGAATAAATTCCTTGGAAGGCAGCAAGGACCTAGGGAATGCATAAATTTAGCTATGTTTGGGGGAAACAATCTCAACCTCCAGATTAGTTACAACATATTTTTCTCACATTATTGTTTATCCTTATTTAAAATTTAATTTTCTATTACATTAGTAATGTATGAATGTATGCTTCTTTAGAAAACACTCAACAATTGGAGAAAGACTAAAATCCCATTTGCCATCACCCCCAAACCTGATTCTCTCTCCCTTTCTCCAGAAATAACCATGATTTATTCCTGCCATATTAAGGAACATTTTTCCATCAGAAAAATTATTGACTGGAAGTCAATGAGCATGCAAGTTTTAATACTGCCCTGACATCTTTTTTTTAAGAAACACCTGAAACATCAAGAATATAGGCAATACAAAACAGGGCAAAAAAAGAGCTTCAGATGAGATGCTGGAAATATTTGCCTCTGTGAGCCCAGTGTCTTAAATACAACACTTCTCAATGGAAGGAAAATGGAGGAGTGGAAGGTTTGGGCCTAAATGAATAATTGATGTGCCATTCCAAAGTGTTCCTATAGTGAAAGAAAAAAAGAGAAAAATCACATCCCTGACGTTGTATCTACATAAGGCAAGCCTCTGCTGATAATGTCTAACTACTTTTTCCAAAAAGCTGTTTTAGTTCCACACTGATGGCTTAGGGCGGTTACAAGGTAGAAGGCAGCCTATGAACAGTTTATCAGGAGACTGATATTTGAAGATTTTTATAAAATGAGATAAAATTCCCTGGTTTGAAACATTTCATAAAGCAGACGGGATTCCTAAGGGACGGAGTAAATAGTCAAGGCCTCCATGGGCTGGTTAATTCCTTTTTCATATATTTCAATGGAGCCAGGTGATTATCTTATTATAATATGCTCTAATTGTTCTGAAATAGTCATCTGGTAAGTGGTCCTTTCATGGCCTAAAATAGTTAATGCTGCCTCCCTCTGGCTGACTGTCCAGGGGCAGAATCGTTGGCACCAGGGCATTTTGTTCTTTTTTACAGATCAACACAGTGCTCAGAATGTATGACTTGGCCATTCTCTGAAGTGCCAGGCAGATGAGACAGTAATTCCTTCACGTATATGGAAGATAAGTCAAAGATGAGTGAGCCGGACACTTGTGGCTGATAAATTCCCAGTTATATGGAGTCCCTGCTTTTACAGCCAGTATCTTAAGAGCACCTTGCAGGACGCTTGGACAATCAAATCATCATCCACTCTGTGCTTTCCTTCCTGCAGGAAAACACTCGGTGGGCCTCTGGAGAAGAGATCACCCTTGCTTTCTCTCTCAGTCTCTGATGCTCTGGCAAACTTGGTTTATGACCAAGTTCTTAGAATTTATTTGGTAGCCAGATTATTTTTGGACTGATGTAATTTTTAAAGGATTTGTTAAAACAAATGATTAGTTGAGGATTACAGTGACCACACACCTTGGGGGGAATGGGTCTGTGGCCGGCTGCCCTGAGCCTCAATTCTGGATTGCCCTGTTGTGTATGGATTTGGGGAGAAAAAGAATGCCCCCTTGGGTAACCTACAAAGCTGGGGCGAGGGTCCCCCTATGGGTGAAGCTTCTCCTAACCACCAGCCTCCGGGCTGAGAATCTGGTCCACCTCTTCCACAAGCTGTGCGGAATGAGGGATGCCAACAGGAATACAACCCAGCCCCTGCCCCAAAGGGAGCGACACTGTGTACCTGAACAGATGAGGATGGTTGGTGCATCACAGGCCTGGTCCGCAGCAGGCGCTCAGTACATTTGCCTTAATTCAAGTAGTGAGTGTGGACAGGGTGCTATGGAGGCAGGAAGGACAGTCACAGACTGTGCCTGCATGTCGAGGGCAGAGGTGGTGGGGTCAAGGAGGGCTTAAGGGAGGATTTGTAGCAATAAAATGTGAGTAGCATTTTGAGAAGTACAATTTGGCCACATGGACAGATTGTGTTTGAGAGCACTGCCTTTGGAGTCAGGCAGGCCGGTTTCAAAATCTGACTGCCACTCACTAGTTATGTGACCATGGGCAAATTTCAGAATATTTCTGAGCCTCAGATTCCTCATCTGTAAAATGGGATCAATAATTCCCACCTTGCGGGATTGCTCTAAGAATGAAAGGAGATAACATGTTAAGCCTTTAATATGGTGCCTGGTACACTCAATAAACAGAGGCGATTGTTATTACGTGAAAGCTAGGGAAGAGTGGTGTGTTCAGGGCACTGTAAGCACCTTAATAACGGTGGAACTGGCCACAAGGGAGAGGAGGCTGGAAGTGGGCAGGGTCATCTCGCAAGTGCCTCGCAGATCAGTGTTTGGGCTCTGACCTACGTCCAGAGAGACCCAGGGGAAGGGTTAACTGGGGTAGAAGTGAGGGGTGGACGACAGCCCAGTGAGCTGGATAGCGGAGTGGAGAGGAGAAGAAGGGGAGGAGCCAGCCCCCACCCAGGCCCGCTGAAGGGTAAACACAAGGGAAACACAATTATCTGCTGCACACTCCTTACAGGATTGGAAGAGAGAAGACGACAAGATCAGAAATACTCGCTTTGCAGCCGATTGGCAGTGTCACAAGATCCTACATCCTTTTGTTACGTTTGCATATATACGTCTTAACGACAAGTGGCATTTTCTTGCCCTACGTTTAGGGTAAATGCACAGAGCAAAGATCAAGCGCACAGGAAGCTGGTCTGGAGCTGCACACACAGGGGCTGTCATTTCACTGGACTCTTCTACTTGCTCTGATTCTCCCACTTGCTAGCAAGAGGATACATGGAGCCACTTATTTTCTACTTCCAAGTTTTCTGTAATCTTCTGAGGTGAATAAAGATGTAGGGAATATAAATACTGATCTTAGGGCCAAAAAAAAAAGAACTTTCCAAAACAAGAGTTCACCACCTACCAGCTCTCTGATCCTAGAGGAGTCACAGGGCCTCAGTTCCTTCATCTGCAAAATAGGGATAATAGCACTTACCTCATTAGGGCCGCTGTGAGGACCCACGAGAGGAACTGCCTGGAGGGCCTGACACACAGAGGCATTCAGTAGAAGGTAACTGAACAGGCTGCTGCTCCTGATGATGCGGAAAGAGACCCTCACACCCACCCACAAGGACTCAGAGACAAGAACGCCAGGATAGAAAAGCAGTTACTACAACACATCTCTCCCTTCTGTCTCTTAAAAAAACAAAATCAAAATCAAAACAAAAAAATTTTCATTCAGAGAGTACTCTGTACAAAATTTCAAAAGAGGCAGAACTTATTTTTGGCTTTCACGACGCTTAACTTTTTTAAAAACTGTGATAAAATAGACATAACATAATATTTACCTTCTTAACCATTCTTAGGTGTATAGTTCAGTAGTGTTAAGTATATTCACATTGTTGTGCAACCAAACTCCAGACTTGTTTTGTCTTGCAAAATTGAAACTCCTTATCTGTTAAACACTACTCCCCTTCTCTCCCTCCCCAAGCCCCTGGCACCCACCGTTCTGCTTTCTGTCTCTATGAACTTGACCACTCTAGGTACCTCATGCAAGTGGAATCATACAGTATTTGTCCTAATGTGGCTGGCTTATTTCACTTAGCATGATATCCTCAAGGTTAATCCATGCTGTAGCATGTGCCAAAGTTTCATTCCTTTTTAGGGCTGAATAATATTCCATTTTATGTATATACCACATTTCGTTTATCCATTCATGTGTCAATGGACCTCTTGGCTACTACGAATAATTTTGCTATGAACAAAAGTGTACAAATAACTACCCTTCTCTGCCTCCGTCTTTCTGTAATGTAACCCAAGTTTCTGGTGCTTTCACCTTTACTCAATATTCTGTCACCAGGAAAGGAGATCTGAGAAATCATTAACACCTTGGTGCAAACGTGCTTAATGTGCTATCCCTAAATGAGACTGTCTGGATTTTAAAAAGAAGACCAAAGGGAAAGGAGCTTACCAACGAAAGCAGAACTCTGTTCCCATTAGACCAGAACTTCTTTGTCTTATGCACCAATTCTAAAACAAGTCCATTTTAACCATTAAACTCACAGAGGAAATGTGAAAATTAAGCATACACTCATCTTAAACTGCAATCAATTAGTTTTATACTGGGAGGGAAAATCCTTATACTGGAGAAAGCTCATTCTGGTCAAATTACGGCCTGAGTCAAACCCTAGCACCCTCCCTCTCACCCAGCCTTTCCTTGCTCGGGCCTCTCCGGAGCCCGGGCTCCTGCGCAGGTCTCATCCTCCCACCGTGGGCTTCCTTGTCTACTGTCTTTTCCTTGTGACAGCTCCTGCTCTGCTGTGCCACACCTGTCAATTCATTCTCCTCTCACAGTTACCCACCACGATCGCACTGTTGCCTGAAACACAAATCCTCCTACAGCTAAAGACGTGCAACCTAGGAAATGTTTTTCTTCCGACAGACTTTACACGCTGCATTCTCAGAAAATGTTAATAAGCTGCACGAATTCTTGGTTGTTCAATGGAATCTCACTCTTCTTTCTTCAATCGTAATGCCACAGGCATTGCCCATCACATGCAATCAGTTCCAAGACCTCCGTGTTTCTTTCTCGCAGTGCCCCTCAGATCCTCCTCTCACCGTCTGGGGTGCGGGCCCGCCAGAAAACAGTGAGGACACAGCACCTCAAGTCTGGAAGGCAAATACCGACCGTGGAACCACAGCCAAGTCAGTGACTGAGAGTTGGGGAGACTGACCAAGAGCTGCGGGGGGGACTGGAAAGTGGGGGTGGTGGGTTGTGGGGGAGAGGGCTGGATGCCAGGAGAGGGGACCCTGAATTCAGGAACTGTTGTGAAAATGAGAGAGCAGGAACCAGAGACCCCAGGAGGAAATGGAGAAGGGAATTTAATCCTGTAAATAGCTTTTCGCTGACTGCCTTTGAAAGAATCGGTCTACTGCTCGGCTGTGTGTGGGGTGTGTTTCCTTTCTCTAAGACTCTCCCTTCTCAGTTAAGACTGTCATGGTATTTTAAAAATATCTTCCTCAGACCAGTTAAATCAGCCTCTGAAGGTGGGACCTAGGCATTAACTGAAACACAGCCACTTCCCAGGCGATTTTGAAGTCCGCAGAATTAACCACTGCTTCAGCCTCTCCCACTGTACCCCCATCCTCCATTCTACTTCCAGATAAATCTCTCAAAGTCTCATGTTTAGAACCCTTCAGTGGTTCTCTGTTTGCTTCTGAGTTTGCCCAGGTTCCTCGGCCTGTCGCTTGAGACACTTCGTGTCACGGCCCAGCCCACCTTACCCCTAGCCCAGTAGCTCGCTGCATTCCTCTCCCTGCCTCACTTGTGGTTTTCCCGCAATGTCATTGGACGTGGTTGGCTGTAGCCTGGTTAACTGCTGCAGCGCAGAGGCCCTGGGAGGGGCAGGCCCAGGTACAGGGGTGGGAAGGAGAGCCCACCTGGCTGGCAGAATGCGGTGTCTGAGTACAGGCCAACGCAGGGCCTGGAGAAGTCCCGTGAGGCGCGGGGAGGGATATTCAGAGGTTTGAGCTGAAAGGAAGATCACCGATCAGAGCAGGCTCCCAGCCATGGATTTGTGGTCCCCAAGCCACGGAAGGACTGATTATCAAGCCTAGCTGAGCAATGAGAACAAGGTGGCACGTCAATCGCAGCCCCAGCCCTGCTGCGTGCCAGTCTTTCATAAGATGCACCCAGAAATCTGCCACCCGCTCCCCCTCTCCCAGGGCAGCAGCATCTGCCCCTGGAGTATAGCTGCAGCCCCGGCCCCATCAGCAGGGCTGGCACAGTCTTTGGCTGCTGCACCCTGAAGGCCCGGCAGGCCACCCAGGCCCCCGCCTGGGCGTGCTCTCCTGCTTCCCTGCCTGGCCCGGCCCCTGCTCTCCTGCACCTCGCTGCCTGGCTTTCTGCACTCCCTGGCTGGCTCGGCTCTGCGTCTGGCCCTCCCATACACTCTGCTCTGCCCTTTGGGGTCGCCCCAGCGGGACGAGATTTATAATCGTGAGTCCTTTCCAAGGCCACGCCTCTGCTCCGGCTTCATCCTTTGTCTGGTCAATTCCAGGGCCTTCTTCCTCGGTTCAGACCCCAAACGACCCCTTCCCCCACCCGCCTGCTCTGCCTCTGGCCTCATCTAGCCCTTTTTACGAGATGACACAGAGGGGACGTTTCAACATCAGACTATAGGTAAATATTTATTGATGCAGACAGATGTTTGTGTTGGTGCTAAGTGAGAAAAGCAGATTGCAAGATAGTTTGTATTTGTATGTGTTCCCCCAGGTGTGAAACACGTGCAAGGGCACTCAGCAATGTGCTAGGAGTGGTTGTCTCTGAGGGGTGGAATTATGGAAGTCTTTTCATTTTCTTCTTTTTGTTTGTCTCTATCATCTAATTTTTCTGCAGTAAATAAGTATTGCTTTTTTTTAAACAAGGAAAACAATAAAAACATGTCATTTTTACAAATAAACTGTGTAAGGTAGCTCCAAGGATCCTTGTTCTCAGAAGCAAGGCAGAGGTCCAACTGAGAGCACTGGTCCAAAAGCAGAGTCAAATTAAGAACTAGAGGTGGCAGCTAAGTCCCAAAGTGCTGGGCCCAAGCTCCCAAGGGCAGGGTAAGGGGGTGCTTAAGATTGCAACTGTTAGCAGCTTGCCTGAGTTTGAATTCCAGCTCACCACTTGATAGCTGTGCAACCCTGGCCAAGTTGCTTAACCTCTCTGTGCCTTGTTTTTCTGATATGAACAATGGGATAAGATTATTTTATGGATAATCTCACAGGAATATTTGGGAATTGAATGGATCATATTACGTAACAAATATTTCAAATGGTGCCTGGTGCACAGTAAGTACGCACTCATTGTTAGCTATTATGGGAAATAAGGCAGGCAGGACTGGGTCAAGAACTTACCTGGGCCCCTAACACTCTCTTCATAGCCCTGAAATCCCACCCACTCTTTAAAGTGCGTCTCAGATGCCACATCCTTCATTCAAGCCTTCCTTTTGCGAGCCTCCGACCAGGAGTGGCCTCACTTTCCTCCGCGTCGTCCGTCCGTCCCTCTGCAGCACGCCCCAGCCAGGATGTGCCTGCCTTCTCTGTCGGTGGGGTGCTTGTTCTGTTTCCTCTTTGGAACTGTCCCGGGAAACAGTGCCGCACCTTCTACACTGTAGCGCACGTTCATTATTCGAGTTCAATTGCCCATTTTGAAGACGATCAATTTGCCCTACAAAAATGCTCACTGCCTTCTCTCACCTGGAGATTTACTGCTCTGATGGAAGCGGGCTTGTCACTTTACACATACAAGAAAGACTAATGGTAGTCCTAAAATTATGATCCTGGTCAGATGTAAAGGTTCGATGTGTCAAAGAGTACCACGTTAACATCTCTGTTATTTGCAAACTAGGTTATAAATAAGATTGCAGGTTGTTTGAGTAAACCACTATCTGGCCACAAACTAGCAAATGTCTGTGATGGCATCCAAATGTCAAACGGTGATGGTGTCTCATTCCCGGCCAGTTTCAATGGGAGGAACCGTCAAGGCTGTGCTGTTGGCCTGTAGCCAGCAGCGTTGTATTTGGAGAAGGAAAATGCTAAACTTGCTCTAGTTTTGTTTTATATTTACTTCCTACATGTCTTGGCAAAGAAACTATAAATCGTTTGTTATCCTGCATATAGACCATACTTCCTTTTCAAATGTTTTTGTATTACATTTGCCAGAGAGCTGCAGAATCTTAATTGTAGTGATGCATGGAAACCCATCAGTGCGAAGTGGAGGGGGTGTTGGCCCCTGTCTGCACAGGGCGCATGTTAGCCACACACCCTGAAGTGACGTATGTGAAATGAGAGCTCGGCGTCACACCCCTGACGCGTTACCTGGGTTAACAGCACTGCACACCGCCTCCTGCCCAAAGCCCACTGAGAATTGACCAGAGTGCTGTTGTTGCCCTGAGCACAGACTAGACGCTCAAGAAATGCTTA